TATATATATATATATATATATATAATCATTTGTTCATCATAACAGTTTTCAATACAAAAAAATTCCTCAGTTAGAAATTTACATATGTCATGTCTATCATCTTTTTAGAGTTGGTGTTTTTAGTACAACCAATGATGGAATGACCACCATGGCCGTCAACAAATCTCAAATCAGGTCAAAACATAACGAAGTTTGTCTTAGTTTTTATTTACTCTACATATATTCATTGGCAATCCTGACAGTTCAAATCAACTACAATGTTATTTTATGTAGAGTATAAACCAAATACCAGTTAAAGCCAATGACTAAACAATATTTCAAGGATCAGTGAAAATTAATTATAACCAGTCAATGCACATATTTGTCCATGTAAATTAACTACCCGTACAAATGTTAGATAATGGAATATTAAATGTCAACTAATAACGAGGGTTTAAGACATCGTTAAAATGATTTACTCACGAGGTAGTATACTTGTACAAACATAATGTATGTATTTTCTTTTATTTATTATTTAAATTTTTTTAATGTATTTAAATATTATTTTTTTAAATAAATTGTTTTAAAAAGAAAAATAAAAGGTAAGCCAATAAAAATTGATAAAATAAAAGCCAAAAATAAAATGTCTAATGTCCCTTCTACCCTTGATTTTCTCTCTCTTCTCTCTCTCTTCATTTCTTCATACCTCCTATATCTCCTCCTTGCTTCCTCCTCTCTTTTTACCCCATTTCCCCTTTTAGCCTCCATTGCCCTTTGGAAAATTACCAAACTATCCCTCCCATTCAAATGTTTTCCATCCATATCCTCCACCTCCATTGTCACTTCCCGCACCTGCATCTCCCCGTCCTCCGACCGCCCGCAGTTCACCACTATCCCACACTGCACCACCACCCCAGCGTCGCCGCCCCCGCCCCTCCTCCGGCCCCGGAGGATGGATACGAAACGGACTTGAACTTCGCGGGATAACCAGTGGCGTTGAACGGAGACCGGCTTGTGGGAGGAGAGATTCACGGCCCGTTTGTTAATCGGGTCGATGAGTATCCAGCTTAACGTCATGTCGTCCATCAGAGCCGCCGTATCTCCGCCGGCCGGTAACGGCGACTGTATCGGAACTACGTCTTTTGGGTCCAACAGGTCGATTCTGAACGGCGAGCACCGGAACCAGTCGGTGGTGGTTTTGGTTTCCTCGATTTTTGTGAGTATTGGATTATTCCGGTAGTAAATGTCGACGGCGGAGATCAATTCAGATGCCGCCACCGGCGATGATGATGGTGACTGATTTTGTGGTGGTGGGGGGACGGTGGTGGGGTCGGGTGTGGGTAGTGGGAAGGTGTGTGAGAAGAAGGACCGAGGTCCGTTTTTGCCGTCGTCGGAGAAATCGGAGATGAATTTGGTGAGGCAGTCGTTGGCGGTGGAGGGCCATGTGGAGTGGCAGATGTTGGACCAGAGGTGGTGGTTGTGGCGGCCGGCGGAGAGTGAGGTGGAGACGCAGGTGGCGGAGGCTAAGGTTTGGCCATCGAGACGAGTTAGTATGTGGGATTCTAAGATATCGGTGGGTAATGAAGAAATTCCGGTAGTGGCACCGTCGTTGAGGGTGGCGAGCAACGGTGGTGTGGTGGTGGGGGACATTTCGGTTTGATTGGAGTTGCTGAAGGTGGGTTTTGCAAGTTTTAGCGAGCATATAAATAGTTGTTCCTTTCGCATGTGAAATGTCAAAAATGGCCCATCAACTAATGGATGAATGCATCGACCAATTTTCTTTCTCAACTTCGTCCTCATAATTTTTGTTTTTGTTAAATTTTCAGTTATTTATTTCGATTTTTTTATACATAATTTTTTCGAGATATTTTTATCGGGTTATAATCTTACATCTTTGTTTTTATACATATAAATGTTCAGATGTAGTATTTAGAGGTTGTTTGTTTACCATTTAATAATTTTATTAAGAGGCAACATCTGAATTGTTAAGATATAAATCTTGTATGACAAAAAAAATATGTCTCTTAATGGTTTTAAAAACTTTTTGAATGATTTTGTATTATGAGTCTCCCTTAACCATTCAGCACCTTAATTGTAAACAATTATCAAACAATTATATTTCATTTTGCACTATATCCTGTGAGCCACTTAATCATTCTGATCACTTAATCATTTTGTGTCAAATCATTCAGCAACTACCAAATAGTCCCTTATTTTTTATCGTCTTTGTATAGGGTGACGGTTCCATAGACTTAGGTGACTGGGGATTCCTAGAGGTATAGACAAATCCGAAATCAAATAACTCACCCGAACCAAACCGCTTTTGGATTATTTAGTGTGCGGGTTAAACGATTCGGTTAACCGAATAAGATAAGTTTCAGTTTCGATTTTTTTACCATATTGGTTGATCGTATATCAAATTATATTATAATTTATTTTATTTAATTTCCTTATAGATGAACTGGTTTGAGCACATATATATATATATATATATATAATTTACATTAGGAAAACAAATTTATCTTTAAAATAATAGGAAATAAAAATATATTTAACAAAACCATTAACTAACGTATTATTATAGCATGTTGCAAAAACTAGCGGTAACAAAACAATCAAAGTGTGGAGGAAAACAACTGTTAAGCGAGGGAGTGGGGTTTTCATTAAAACGGATTGGGTCACTAAAGGAACATTGTTAAAATGACCGAGGAAACTAAGTAAATAAGAGTAAAAAAATGTTACTTTTACCTAAATTACATAACATTTTGATTTTTTATTGGTCCGTAAAGTCATGATTTGACCTTGAGAAAGTCAACTATTTGGGAAATGAAACACATTTTTTTCATATAGAATAGATCTTGATCTTTAAAATAAACATATATCGTCTTCAAAGATGAAAAATGTTGATTTTAAGAAGAACTGAGAAAAAATATCATGAATTTAATAAAAGACAATGTCAGATGAACTCTGTCTTCTCAATCACAAATGACAATGTCATAATACAGGTTAGAATTATTGGACTTCTATCATGATCTCTAATCATTGGAAGTGGCAACATCCAAAGGTCAAAGGACACTTTACAATCATATGATCTATAATAACAACAATTTTATCATAACGTGTTGTATATTTAGGTTAATAAAAAAAACAATTTTTTATAATTTTTTATGGGTTAATAATAAAAAAAATAAATAGTATTCATAATGAATGTGATACTCAAAATATAGTTGATCGAGTGAATTCTGATATATTTCATTAACATATTTGTGAATATGTAAGTAGTCATCATTGTATTTGTAAATTGGAATCAAACTATGCATATTATTCATTTGATATGCCAAGTTCGTCATAATTGTCTTTGTCCAATGATCATGAATACTTGTTGAGTGGCATTATGAAATACAACCATGTAGAGGTGCACATGCTACGATATCATGTTTTTTTTATTTACTTTTTACTGTATACCAACTAATTAAAATTAGTATACAAAATTTTATACCATGTACCAACTATATTTGGTATCAATTTTTTTCAGCTGATACATGTTGGTACAGTTTTGTACCAACTAGTGGCGGAGCTAATAGGAGGGTTGGTAGGTGTCGAGCCCCCTAACATTTAAGATTTAAAAGAGTATAAGATAAATCAAGTTACATGTATAGTGATAGTTTAAATGGGTTGTGTCATTTTTCAAATTTTGGTTTTGGTCGTTAAATTACTTTAATTTTTAAAACACTTACACTACATAATTGTTTATTTGACAAAAACCTCGTAAAAGATATTTTTTTATGCATCAAATATTGTTTATTGTTACATGTTACTTAAATAAAGTTAATTTACAAGTAAATTGTGTGTGAATACAATTTATTAAAACTCCATTTTAAATTTGTGTAACTAACTGCAAATAAATATAATTAAATACAAGATAAATATTTTATAAAAACTATTATTACATTAAAAGTTGAAATAAACTAACTCAATATTGATAGTTTTGTATAAATTTAAAAAATATATGAATCAATGTTTTATAAAATTATATTTTTTTATCATATATTTTAATAACATTATTTTCCCCCAAAAATAATGAAATCTACTTTTCATGGTATTTATATTGATATATTAATAAATTAATGAAAATAATGACTTACTTAATGATAGAAATATGTTAATATTATAATATAATATATTTATCAGTCTTTCAGAGTTTCATAAACAACAGTCATGATATTCAATTTCTTTCAAAATCTCAAGAGACTTAAAAGAACCAACATTAACCGTATATTTCACATTAACCTCTTGTTTAAAAACTTCAATCATCAAGCTCCTCATAAACTGAAATTCTGGCTACGACCCCAGTACCAACATCACAAATATTTGAAGTTACAAATTTATTTATTTAGACATCTTTACCAACTAGATCTAGATGCACTAAAACAATTGACATTCTGTTGATATGCATTGTAGCACTTATCCTTAACTATACAAGCATTCAAATAACATTCACATGATATAAACATTTAGTAATAATACAAGCGACCATTCATGAACCATGATGAATCAGTGAAGTCTAGACGAGTTATTAAGGTTGTTAGAGTCAGATAAATGAATTCAATCAAGTTCTATATATCCATCTTCATTATTATTTAGCAAAATTAAAAATCAAAATATGCCGAGATTATTGGTTAAACTTTAATTAATAAATAATTAAAAAATAACGTGGTACAGTACGATATTATCGTGGTATATAACTTTTAATATCATGTACCAGTCAAGTTTAGATAATTTATATGGTACTACCAACCAATTAAAATTTATACTAACTAATTGGTACCAATTAGATTGATGCGTATGATACATAAATTGGTTGGTTTACGTATTATCACACGTTTATTTGTTTTTTTTTTCTCAATATTTTAAATATTTGATTGTATTTTAAATTTTTGAAACCAATAATTTACATCACAAGCCACAAAAAATGTTGGGATAGTTTACTCGTAAGAATCGATGTCGTTATCACACACAAAAGTTTTACATCATGCAAACACCACACAAATTTTCATAAAATAGCTACCACTGATTAGGTATAAGTAATCATAATTGATAACGGTTTTTATTTGATCCATATAATACTGATAACTGGAATTTAAATGGCTAAAATTTGGTTATTTTTTAAATTCAATTCAAACAAATTGTTTTTTTAAATTGATTTTTTTAAAGAACAACTAAAAGAGGAGGAAATAATAGTAATTTGTGTAAGAAAAAATAAATCAAATTAAGTCTATAAACTTATGTTTTTTATTTGGATAAAAAAAAAGGTCGATTGTCGGTAACCTTAACCGACCCCATGCGAACCCATCTCTAGTAGGGGTTTAGGGATCGGACCCGAGACCTGTCTTGTATTTAGTCAAACTCGCCCATCCCTTTTGCCAACTGAGTTGCATGCACAAGGCAACTCTATGTTGTTATTATTTGCACATGAATTGATATTTAAATTCAAGTCCCTACAAAAGCGTTAGAGTTTGTTTGATTGTTGACATCAGGAAACCACAGATTAATTGAGTTACGTGTAAGTTGACCTGAATATCAACAATAATCAATTAGTTAATAACTTTTTTCTTTCGTGGGTTGTTAAATTAATTTTTGTTTAATTTGCAAAAAAAATAGTTGCAAGAGATCATATGACGGCGAAAAGAGCTTGGACATTGGTAGCTTTCAGTTACAATCAATCATAATAGAATAACAGATAAGTTTCAATCAGTACTGTATTATTTATCAGCTACCAGCAAAATGAATAAAACTTCAAACATAAGTCATTTTCATAAATTCTTAAACATGTTTTTTTGAAGAACATTTTTAACCCATTTATCCACCGAGTATACTATCTGGATAAAAATAGAAGAAAAAAGCAATTTCAGAGGAAAAATATCAATAAATTAAATTATTATTAATATAAGTATAAAAAAATCAATTTTAAATCTATTATTTAAATCAAGAAAAGTGAAAGAAAAAACAATTTCAAATTATTATCAATATAAGTATAAAAAATTGAGGGTAAATTATGTTTTTCGTTCCTTGATTTGTTAAAGATTGTAGAAATTGCACTTTTCGTTCTTATAGTTTGTAATTCATTGTTAAGTTTGTCAGTATGATTTATAATTTATTGTTGTTTCAGTTTTTATGGTTTATAATTATTTACTGGTTTGATCATTTATACTTACTTAAAGGTAGGGGTGGCAAATTCATACCAAATTAAATCAACCAACGTGTGTACCAGTCGTACCAATTAAATTGGTATCAATTAAATTGGTACCAATTATAATTGGCTAGCAGTACTGTACCAAGTTTCTAGACATGGTTGGTACACAACATTAAATGTTGTGTATCATGATAATACTATGGTATCGACTTATTTAATAATTTAATTAATTATATTAATCAATAATATTCTTTTTTTGGGTTTTAAAATTTGAAATAAAAAGTTTTCAATTTTATTTAATTATTCATTTTTTTTTAATTAACCTGGATATCCAACCCGTTATACGAGCCGACTAATCCCAGGACAACCACCTGCTTTGCAGGTAGCCCAGAGCCATCACATTTGAACCTCCGTGACCACAAGGAGATTTTTGTTCCTTATTGGATTTGAACCTGAGACCTCCAGACACTTTTGATTTTTGAAGTCAAGCTCAAACCAATCAAACATCACCCTTGTGGTTAATTATTCACCTTACTGTCTGAACCACATAAACTAAATTATGATGCCTCATTTTGAATTAGTTTTTTTTTTTCTTTTTCATATATTGAATATTGCATTTTCTTACATTTAACTTTTTCGTTTGAGCTTTTTGATTTTTATGTTTCATATATGTAACTTGAAATTGGTACAAGTCGGTACTAACATGTACCAACCAAAAAAATAGTCGGTACCAATTACAGTTGTTGATACACAGTATAGAATTTTGCATACCAATTACAACTGATTGGTACACGGTATTGGCAAAAAAATAAGCACTTGAATCATAAGGGTGGTGTCTAATTGGTTTGAGCATGACTCCAAAGGTCAAAAGAACCAGGAGATCACATGTTCAAATCCAAAGAGAAATAAAAATTTCTATGTGGTTAAGGAGATTCAAATACGATGACTCCGAACTATCTGCAAAATAGATGGTCATCCTGAAATTAATCGGTTTAGATATCCAGGCTAATAAAAAAAAATTATAAGCACTTTTTTGTCAAAAATAAATTTTAGTTTTAATTTCATACAACGTTGACCATGATGACTCACTTTATCCGTTAGCCATCCAACAAACTGAAACAAAAAATATCCATTTCCTACTCTCGCCTCTCTAACCACAAGCGAATTTTTCTCTCACCGACCACCGCCTTCCGTTCCGAGAACCCTAACTTTCCGACCACCGTCAAAGCACCGGTCTCCCTCCGGACTTCAATACAAGACCAATGGACGTTTCTCAATTTCACGGTCTCCCCAATGCCAGTTGCTCCCCTTCAATTTCCCAATGGAAGTAAGTATTATTTCATCTCTTTTTACATTAATATCATTGATCTTCACACTTGCATAGATATCTAGCATTGTTTTATTGTATATGTATTTAGCAATCAGCCAAATGGAGATTCGGAATTCTGTATATTTGGAAAATCAGACAATTCTATGATCAAACTATTTTTACTGAGTGATTGTATACTATGTGTGATGAGTTGAGTTAAATTGATTAAGTTTGAACGTTATAAGCTATACATTAGTATTCCGTTGGACAATCGGATCATTGAGAAAGTTATCTGACCTAGGTCTTTTTTAGTTGTAAGAGTTGAGTAAGCTTATGAAATTCTGTTAATTAATGAACGCGTTTAGTCTTCAGTGCATTAACTAATATATGTAAATGAAATTCATTGATGAAGCTTAGAAATTACCATCCTGTTACTAGGAACTTGTATTTGCAGGATAGAAAATGGTACAGGTTCGGATCATATCCACTTAGAAATCAGGATGTGGAACATGTATTTCAGATCGAGACAATTCATGAGCTGGCTATTTTATTGAGATGAAGATGAGTATAACACATGTAAAAAATAGACAATCTGGTGTCTAAATCATGTCTTTTTCATCGATCATCCTTATCACCAATAATATATGTTTACAAAGAGAATTATTGCTATGATTTATATATTTGGGCAAAAAGTTGATTATCGGCAATTCCAACTGGCCCCACACGGAACCCGCCTCCAAGGACACCAATGTGAGGGGGAATTCTTTGGCTCACTCAGCGGCTGAGGCTAGCCGGGGGGGGGGGGGGTGGGATTGAACCCAAGACCTGTTATGTATTTGCGCAAAGTCTCCCCACCCCTTTGCCAACTGAGCTACACGCCAGAGGCGCTATGATTTATATATGGTGACTGAAGAGAAGGGAATATACCAAAGGACTTGTCTTTCAAGTGGAGAACATCTAGTGATTTAAATCGTGTTCTAGGGGTACTAGGGTTAGTTCACCCCTTCATAATTTCTTATGAATCTCTACTTTATAGCTAACCTCAACCTGTTTCGGATGAAAGACTTGTAGTCATTGAAATGAAATATGTTAAAAGAACATTGAGAGGCAGAGGCCAGACATAGCCTAATTATGTATAATAAGTGTGAGATAAAGTATGCTCCTAAGTTGCCCAATGATTCTCTAAATTAAGGAATTCCTACAAAATTTTAATGAAGCTTATTTTTATAGTGATTGGTTTTGGCACAAAGAATGCCAAAAAAAGGAGTTGTGTTATGGGAATAATCTTCCTCTAGATGGGTTCATTTGCTATTACAGTTACAGGACAAATAATACAAGCGCCTTGAGGATTCTCATGGTTTTTTATGTTGAGGAACTTCACTAATTTTTATAGTCTAGTAAATCGCTGATTGGGACGAAGAATACACTACTCAACTTGACCGAGATTCAAAGTTATAAATCTAATTAAAATTAATGACTCTATTTATTTCCATAAAATTTGCAGTAGCTTCATATTGATTGATGGGTGAACTTCCCAATGTATAGCCTAGTGGCTAAAAATTATGTCAAACCCATACTCTACGACACTGCATACTACTGAATAAATTGCTAATCAGTATTATTTGTAGTAGTTCACTCTTGAAGTTTAATATATGCAGATCTCTGAATCCATGGGTTTCATGTAAACATTACCAGTCCTGTTTCTTCCACAAAGACGTAGTTGACCTGGGTTACTTACCGTTCAGTAGGGTTCATTCAAGGAAGAGATACCAGATAAATCTTTCTTTACTAGAGGATGGAAGTCTAACTTCTAGCTCCAGATTGGTTGATCTTCAATTCCTCTGTTTATCCCATCGTAAATCAAGAAGAACGGGACACCTTCTTTCTTTTGCTTCTGTCGATGACAGTATAACAGTTAATGGCAGTCCCCAAGCAAGTACTAGCGGTGATATTGAGGAAATGCAGGTCGAACTAGACAAGTCGTTGCAAAATGAAGATTATAACAGTGCACTTGTCCAATCATTGCATGATGCTGCAAGGGTATTCGAATTGGCCATTAGAAGTCAGACCTCTGTGTCACAATTACCATGGTTCCCAACTGCTTGGCTTGGTATAGACCAAAATGCATGGTTGAAGACCTTATCTTATCAGGTTTGTAAAGTAACATACTTACAATTTGTATCACCCATGTTAATGCTTAATCACAACTAGGTGCATGCATGAGTGGATGTATATGTGCATGCTTATGCTAGTGAAAATATATGTGTTTGCTAGCTTTATAAATCGTATATGTTATGTCTTAAGGTGTTCTCTCTCTCTCTCTTCTTTTCTTTCTGTGAAACGGTATAAACATAGATGATGTTTCAATTTCATTTATTTAAATGCATGAGTTGTGAGTTAAGTGAAACGTACATGCAAATGCCTAGTTGGCAAAGAAACAGGAAATGGGATTTGGGGCTATCAAGTAGCTTGCAAAGTTGCATATTACCAATAATGCAACAAGTTACACAGTTGTTAATGAGTATGCAACTAGTAGGGGAGCCTTTATAGGTGAAGGCTGTGATTTGTGAAGCCAGGAACTAAGTGCCAGCAGAGAAGTAACAAACCAATTTTCACGGAATCTGATAGAAAATAGAAATAGCAATTTGGAATTAACACAGAAAAATACTATGGAAGGAGGTTCTTAGATTGAAATTGGAAAGAAAAGAGAAGAACAA